TTTTTTCCAAAACCCCCCAAAAACGGGGGGCAAAGGGAAAATTTTTTTTTCCCCTTTTTTTTTCGCCCCCCCCCCCCCCCCCCCCCCCCCCGCCCAGCGGGTGCTTACGGCATCCGCGAGGTGGTCACGCCCGTTCTGGACTACCTTGGCTGCTTGTACTCCATGCCGGACAGCGAGGAAACGCGACCAAGCTCTTCGCAGGATGGGTCGCTGCCGACCGAGCGGACCGAGGTCGGACAGCGCTCGGCCATGGAGACGAAGTTGTTGGGTGTGTACAGGCGCGTTTTGGACCAGCACGGAGCGGCTCCCGGACCGTGATTTACCTTGTCTCTCACCTGTTCGGTGTCTCTGGCTGCCAAGGAGGCTCGTCGAGTGCATAGATGGAGCATATTCCCCCGCTATATGTTCCTCGGGCTCAGTGTAATTTGGTCGGGTGGCATGTTGTGCTGATTGTATCGAGGACGCTATTGTATTCACGATGGACGCTTGTTGAGGCATTTGGTGGCAGGTGATTGCCCCGCTGTCTTGTCCTCTTTGACTGAAGCCTTGTTTGCTCCTCTGTAGGTGTGTACCCGTGCTGCTTTAGGTGTGTGGTGCAGAAAGGTTTAGCGTCTTTGTGATAACATTATTATGGGTATGCTGTGATACGTGTATTAGTAAATAGTGTGTAGATTTGAGTGTAGGTCACGCTGAACCCCATTCAGTATCACTGTATAATCCATAATGATAGACCCCCTCTTTAGGATGTATTGGGGGGGGGGGGGGGGGGCATGCCTTAGCAATGCGTGCTTAGGATATCGTTGGCATGGTACTTCTGCGCTATCAAGAAATGCGCTTGGTGCGTGGGCGATGGTTTTTCTTCCCCGTCCTGTTCCTGGCTCCCTGGCGGCCCTCAACTTTCGCGGCCTGTGCACCTCAATATCTTGTTATTGATATGTAGTTGTGCGTGTCTCTTCTCGGCGTGTGCTGTCGCTCTGAGCTCGCGTGTAAGTAGTGCTAGACCTCACACTGTTTGTTCGGTTCTTCGAAACACAGCAGTTCCAAGTTGTGTAGTTTACGTGTAATTTAACGGCCAATTTGGTTTTTAGTGTTCGTGTAACGATACGACATTCTCCACCCTTTTCTTTGTTCAGTTTTTTTAAGCGCTCTGTTTTGTCCATGAGTGTCGGGTATTGACAAGTCGCCATAGTTTAGCCAAGTGTCGTTCACGTCGTTGCTTGCCCGCTTGCAGATTCTTCTTGAGTTCTTTTTTTTTTGCGTGACTACGTGCCCAACCATGTGGCATCCTAGTGGCATGTAGGACGTGTTCGACGAGCACACAAGGTCAAGGTTCCAATCGATAGGAAATAACGGTAACTATCTTGCGCCTCTTACTCGAGATAACATTAGATTCAAGTTGTCTCTCTTTCCGGCGCGAAATCGGAGTGTCAACGTAGCCCAGCCATTCTTTTCTTTGCTCAAGTTTGGCCCAAATTGGGTATGTTACGTTTCAAACAGTTGGTTGCAGGATTCGTCTCGCAGTTCGTTCTTCGTGAATGCCATCAGCTTCCTCCCCCTTGTTTCGATCTTTGTCGGCACTCCACTCGTAGAATCAAGGAATAGCACCGGTAATCTACCATGTGGATGACAGCACAAAACACTGTTCCCCGATGGTTTCAAATCGACCCTCAACGTTTTTCACAACTCTCCACTGTAGTTACGAAAACCCAAAAATCAATTTCTTTTTGCCCCTGAATCTCTCCTCAACTTGCCTCAACACGAAAAACGAAAAAAACGATAGGAAGCGAAATATTGTCGTTCATACGTATGTGACTCCAAATACTACTGTTATGCACCTTCAAGGACAATACTACTGGTATGCACCTTCAAGGACTGACGCTTGACTAGCCCGCATAAACAATCCCTTTCGATGCTAACAAAGGCGACGAGGGGCTGACTTACCAGGGGACTACAAGTACTGAATCTCCTACTCCTACGCACGAACTCGCTGTGCCGTTCAATCTGCCGTTTGTTCCTTGAGGTAGACCGCTGACATCTCCTCGCAATGTCGTATTTTTCCCCCCAACTTTGTCATCTTAAACCAAGGGGCCCACTCGATCTACATTTTCTGGCGTTCAGGCAACAAATTGCCCTATCAGAAGCAGAGCAGTTGCGACATACCCCAACAGGTGAAACAAAAAAAAGAAGAGTTTGTGCATGACAATGTAGGTGTGGCCTGTGGTCTCTTTTCGGCACTCCCCTCGTCCCGTCCCACAACCCTGCCACGAAACTTCCAGGGCTTTCACTGGGTTCTGGCCAGTGCAGCGTATCCCACCGCGGACAATTTAGGCTATCCCCTCCTTGGCCAGGTACCACCAGGGCATCCAAAGGCTCGTAGCCCCCTGTGGGGTGTATCCATGCACAGCTGATTGGCCAACGGTGTGATCAAAGCATCTTCTCTGGTTTCTTGGGGCCCTGGTGGGGGAAGTTGGCGTGCAGGTAGGTGCCTCCAGCGACAAGCGCGGCCGCCGTCCAGTGCGTCTGTCGTCAAGCATCGACCAGCGGGAGAGCATCGACGAGAGAAAAGCACACACACACATCCAGCACGGTTAACAAATATTCGAAATGGTTGACAAAATTCGAAAGGCAGCTCCACGGGGTCGTTCTTTATCTGCCGTTACACGGGGGGTATGTCAGTACAGCTAACCCTCTCTTCGTTCCTCCTCCCAGAGCCTGTACTGCATCACGTTGCCTTACCATGGTGAGAGCCGACTTCTCCATAGTGCTCTGCACTGCCGCCGTCACGAGGATACCTCCTATCAAGGCAAAACCCTTCTGGACGCTCCCAGCGTGCTTCGTCACCTACCCGAGGTTAGCCACGAGTCCGTACGCGCAACGAGGAAGGCAGCGGGCGCGCGAGGGGAGGCTATGATAGACGTAGAGGGAGTCGGCAGCGGTCGTTGACACCAGCAACGAAACCTGGTGCATCTCTGGCCCTTTCTTGGAGTCGACAAGTGAACTTTGCAGAGAACCACGGCCATTGCCATCAAGAGCAAGGCAAAACAGCGAATACCAACGTCTCCTGCGCCCAGGTACGTGCGCTCAGAATAATACCGTTTCACGGCAGTATGTATCGAAACCTTCATGCGCACCCTACTTCCACTGAGAGGGCATATATATAAATGTACGCAGTGAGTGCAACTACTGTAGTATAACGTTAAAGTCTAACTCGCACAACACAGGCCTGACGTACAGATGTTGTTTACCTGGCCCACGATCAATCCGCCTGCCGCTTGACTGAGCACGGGTACGCAAGTCCACTTCGTCCATCCCTGGAATGCACTACTTCTTCCCGCTGACGTCACGGCGTCTGACCCACCGATCCCGGATCCCGATGTTAGCAGCAAGGTTAAGACGCCGTACACGGCTAGCTCGAGAGAAAGCTGAGAAGAATTGCGGCCGCTCCTCTGCAGCGTCCTCTGGGTTACCGCTCCCATCAACCCGGACATTAGGGCCGCCGCCATGACAGGGAGCACGCCTAGCCAGAGTCGCGCAGAATCCTCTGCCTCCGACGTTAACAGCCCCCTTTCCCCAGTGCCTGCCTTTGAATCGCCGCCACTGCTACCTGAGTTGAGGAGAAGGGCCGCCGCTAGCAAGAGCGAGAGGGCGACGAGCTGCAAGCGGGACTGCTTCTTGCCCATGACGAGGTACAGGCAGAGCGCCGCGAAGAGGGTCTTGGTTTGATTGAGGAGGTTGAACGTCAGGGAGTCCAGGTTCATGTAGGCCAGCTGGGATAGCCAGTTCTGCAAGGCGTACCCGGCGGCCGGTAGCGCCGCCGCCTCGAGGCTCCCTCGAAGGGTCCACGATTCAAGCATGGGTCTGAAAATCAGCAGAAGAAGGGCGCCAGGAGAGAGCGAAGGCAGGAGAGCACGTGTAACGGCCTGGTTCGATACCAGTTGTCGACTGATGTGCATGTACCAGTTTTCATATTACTGAGCCGGCATACCGTCGACATCCTCCCCCGGTTCCGTTGCCCACTCTCTGCTCTCGCACAGCCTCTCGTACTTCCGAATAGCTCTGCATGGTTGAATGAAGAGTGCTGGTGAGAGTGTTGGAAAATCCAAGGATTACAACCGTGATGCGTGTAGCGACGACCGTACAACGAACAGTTTGGCATGAAGCCCCTCATGTGCTGTGTGCTTAGGGTGTACCGTAAGAGTCGGAGAGATGGCACCCCGGTGTAAGCGTTATTGTATAGCGTATTTCTCCACAACCAGGGGGGTACCACTGCCGAAAAGGGTAGTTTTGGAAACATCTCGTTGAGGGCTATCCTGAGAGGTATCGGTTGGTGTTCGCACCCTCGTAGTTGTGGAGAAACACTCTACGAGAACACGCTAACACGGGGGTGCCATCTCTCCGACTCTTGCGGTATGTAGGCCCGTCCTGGTGCATTTCCACTGTGTATAAAGCTGTAACCTGCTCGTGTCGCGAATGACTGCTGAAATTACTTCCTCTCACCGATACACCTTTGACCCAGACGACCAGATAACGAACACGCAAAGGGTGATCTTGGTCATTTCGGTGACAATGATGAGGGACATGCGGTCCACGCTATGCTTGTCCACGCAAGCCTTCTGCAACACCGGCTGGAGCCCGAACTGAAGCGCGAGCATTCCCATGAAAATCCTTCCTTTCCTACTGACACTCCCGGGATCCCGCTCTGCGCCACCCATTCTCCTCCTGTTGCTTGCTGGTGCTTCAAGCGGCCCGCTAGGAACTGCTTCTGGGCTGCCCTCTCCACGCCCACTCGGATGTCTCACCCCGCGGCTGCTGTCTACTTGTCTCACCCCGCGGCTGCTGTCTACTTCAAGCGGTCCTGCTGGCGAAGTCTGATACAACTTCGTCCTTCATGCAAGAACAACACTTGTTTCGTCCGTCGTGAGCTATATCGTCCCTTTTCCAAGAGTGGTGTCGACGCACCTTGCGTTCCTCTTGCAAACTGCAAGGAGAGTCTGCCTCGGTGTGCCTGGCGTTGCTGCTAGAGAGACAGAAAGGAAGCGAGCAGGGAGCAGGAGAAGCGAGCGGGGTTAGGGCATGGCGATACTGTGCGTGTCAACCAATCAAGTTCGATCATCCCACCAAGGAGTTGCGCCGCCACGCCGCCACACATTTGCAGCTGGCAGCTCGAGCTGGCAGCTGGCAACACTCCAACACCCACCCCGCTGTGTGCGCTTGTTGCGCTCTTGCAACTCGGAGAGCATGTTTGCTGGTGTGGATAAGCTGGGGGGTGGAGTGGTCGGAAGTGTGGTGTCAGACAGCAAGGCAGCGCTAATCACCATGGGGGAGAGCGCAGCGACAGCCAGGCGAGTATTACCGTACACCCACAGACAAGAACATGATAATCAGTCCGTGACACATTTAACGTCGATTCCTTCACAAAGAATGCATGCAAAGGTTGTTCATGCTTCTCCTGGCAATGTTGGATACTCACTAGGATATTCTTGGCCATGTCGCTGCCCAAAGGCCTTTCTCTAACCCATGCTTTGTGCTACACAGGATAGTCGGTAGAGTAGCAGTCTTCCCGCGCCGCAGTAAATCCGACACCAGTGTGCATACCTCTCGGCCAACGAGGGCGCGCGCCAAACGCAGCGCCGGAGACATTCTTTGCGCGCTTGATTGTGCGTGGTGCTGCTCTCCGCAGTGCTGAAGAAACTCTGGTGGGCAAAGCGATGAGCGAGGATGGCACTACCAAGGCGGTGCTTCTGCGATCGAGGGTCGACCCGACCTCCGGTGGGCTCTGCTGGCTGCCGGTGGATGCCGCCATGGCTGCTGAAGGTAGAGAGAGGGCCACGAAAGTCACGTTGGTATCTAGAGGGCCGGGTAGATGTCTCGACAGACGAGGAATGGGTACCTATTGTGATGGGCCGAAAACTTGTGCCAACGCTATTATGTACTTGTAAGCACGCAGCCGGAATCACACACACAATCCAGCCGTGCTCCTGCAAAGACTACTGCTGTAGTAGTAGACAACACCTGCATGGCAATCTTGTTGCAGCACAGCATTCCGATCACATAGAATCGGCTCAACCCGTTCGGCGCCTCAACACGATTGACAGTGGTTTGTTAAGAGTGCCCTCGCCTTCCTGCACTTGTACTTCCGCCATTCCTTCTCAACCCCACGTGGCGCTGGACACTTCCTTCACTGCGTGCCGGACGATGTGTCTCGATGAAGACACCACCTCGATGTCCCAGATGTGAGGAAAACTTGGTCTTATCTTGCCGTTTGCACGTACGAGTGCCCTATATGTAGGTTACAAAAGTTACACAGTTGTACCAGTAGCTGTGAACATATTGGTCACTCACACGCGAAATTCAGCGGCGAGCATTAATGAGCGCAGGCTACTACCTCCCCCGTTGCCGCAAATGGCCTCTCATTTTGGGCTATTTCTAAGCACGACGCGTTCTCACCAGTCTGCGCTCGATGAAGCTTCGACCAACCCTGCTCTTTGCCCGTCTGCCTTCGATGAATCTTTGACCACCCCCGCTCTTTGCCCTCGCAAACCCTCTCTTCCATTTTCACGCAGGACATCTATGCTTCACGACGCTTCTCGGAACACAAAGTATGAGACGGCCATCACAAAAGTAAGTCGCTAAGACCATGAGGACGGCGCTCTTGCATAATCTGCGGCGCCGCATAAAACAACAACAGCAAGGAAACGTGATCGGTGATCCATGATGTAGAACTGTTTGTTGAGGTTCCAGGAGATTTGCTGTAGATGAGGCGCGTTTCTCCAGCACGGTTCACCGCCGGCTGACAAACCGTTTCACGAAACCCACGCGTCGTCAAGTGTCCGCTATCCAAAGGGCCGCCCTCTTTCTCTTTTTGCAAGGCATGAATAACCTTTAGCGATACGGGTGACCCTGCCGCTGAAAGTGGCCGCAAATCGGGCACAACCACGCACTTGGCGTGGCCGCCTTCAGGCCCTCCACGGCTTGGCTTTGTAAACGAGGCAGGTCTACGCATGCGCTGTGCGTTTTCACGCCCCAGTACCCTGCCCGTTGTCGAGATCTGTGGTGAAACGAAATACGTTACTTGCTCTGATCGGCCTTGTCTACCTTGTTGCTGTTGACAGGCCATCCAAGCGTTCATTCAAGAGCATGGGAGGCCACCTGTGGTTCTCGATATTGGCCAAGGCACGGGGCTTTTGTCTATGCTGGCCGTTAGGGCCGGCGCAGAGGATGTGTACGGGGCGGAGCTCTATGAACCTCTTGCGCAGATCGCCAGGGAGGTCACAACGCTGAACTGCGGGGATAGGATCAAGGTGAGTTCATTGTGACGCCTCCTGCTGTCTTCATGTTTCCGAATCGTGAACCAGGCGAGATCGGGGCTTTCTGGAACTCAACGTATTCCCAAGATTTGCTCGGATTTTCGATGGCAGGGAAAGAGGACGACACATGAACGGAAAGGGCCTGTGCCCAGTAGGTCTGTAGTGCAGGTGCTGCCCACGAACCTTGCGCAAAAGTTTCACCACCGCAACTATTTCTACCACAACTATTCTATAACCACTACTGCTTATCTGCTTCCACAACTACAAGTACAGCGTGTTTCATAGACCCAGATTCGGTGGTCTCGGCGTGTGATTTGACCGGTTACGTCGGGTAGACGATGCGCGCGCGTTGCTGATCGACATCCCCTCGTTTGTTTTTTTTGTGTGTCAATGTTTAACACAAGCCATGATACCCCCGATCTTTTCTATGTAGAACACACGCAGAGCAGCACTACGATCCATGCGCGAATTACCGCCTTGCCGCGGGCGTGTCAGGTCATCGCGAAGAGGAGCACGGACCTGCGTGTCGGAGAAAGCGGAGATCTGCCCCGACGAGCCGACATGTGCATCAACGAGATCTACGACTCCGCTCTCCTGGGCGAAGGGTGCCTGCCCGCCTTCCGTCACGCGCTGGCTAACCTCCTGGTGAGCGGTCTGATGACGCGACCCCGATCAACCAGCGATGGAGGCTAGATGATGAACTCGGTGACACGCGACCATACGCAAGTAGCGGTCATCGCTTTAGAGTCCGACGGGCAAGAGCAGGGCTGTGGACGGTACATACATAGCACCGGGCTTTCTGTGTGCGTCGATTTTGCGGGGAACCGATAGACAGGTGCTGCCATTCTTGTTGTTCCCACTCCGAACGTCTGCTTAACCCCCCCACCCCACCCACCCCGGTGGCTTTGCGATTCCGTTTTCCGCCGCGCCTGCCAGGTGGACAAGCCGGTCATGGTTCCTGCCGGCGCCGAGGTCCACGGTGTGCTTCTCTCGAGCAAGTTCCTTCGGTCTCGCCACGATATCTCGACAGCGGAGTTCAGTGAGGGCGTCCCCGTTGCCCGCAACCCACGCGCGGCGGCGTGCCGCGGCGGGAGAAGGGCCCTCCCTCTCCAGGGCGCAGAGCTGGAAGATGCCGTTAATCTCAGGTGCGCGCAGCAGCGCCAAGCTCTGTTTTTCTCCCCGACGCCTCTTGGCTTCGCCTCTGCTGTGACATTTGCAAGGCAGATCCCGCCAAACTGCCACACCCCTGCGAACGACCGTGCCCACCACCACCTGTCGATCCGGCACGATTATTTGTCATAACATTTGCGTTGGTGATGTACGTCCCTTCGCGCCTGCGTGCCGTCGCTCCCTCCCGCCATCTTGCCCGGCCAACAGCGAGCCGTTCCATGCGCTGAGTTTCCGTTTTGGGGAATCGTTTCCTGAGGAAGGCTGTCGGAGCCGCAAGGTGTGCGTGCCGGGTCGGAAGCAGGCCATGGAGTCTTAGACGCCGTCATGATGACGTGGGACCTAGCCTTAAGCATGGTGACGTCATTGTATTCCACGAGGTATGTTGCCGTGACCATGGTCCTTCGTTGGGTCGCTGGAGGATGCGGTGGGGGGGGGGGGGGGGTGTACTCATAGTCGTGCATGCCGTAGTCGTTTGACCATTGACCTCGCATCCCTACAAAGCCGGGACGGAGCACGCCGGGTTCTCACCGGACCAGGCTCTCACATCACCAAGCGCGAAGCGCCGTGAGGTATTTGGCGAGTCGCATGAAGGGTGAGCTGCATCCTGCTAAGGGTGTTCGGCATCTTGTGCTTACTTCCTTGCGTACGGATGACAGCTACGTATGGACTTAATTTATTTTCTGGTGCTTTCACTTCCAGAGACAGTTGTAAGCACTGTGTAACTGCCTCGAGGAAGCTTGACCATTTTAACACAACGTGGTACGATCATCCCCCGTTGCGCGGAGTGAGGTTTTTCGACCCCGCCCAACATGATTTACTCGACCCCCATTATGGTTCCCCCCAAAAAAAAAAAAAAAACGAGGTAAAAAAAAAAAAAAACGGTAACCTGGTTGCCGAGTTCACGAAGTGAATTGGCTTGTTTTACAACGTCGTTGCCAAGCGACGAAAACCCAATCCCGATGACAAACACCGGGGGGGGCGGCATGTTTTACAACGTCGTTGCCAAGCGACGAAAACCCAACCCCGATGACAAACACCGGGGCGGGGGGGGGGGGTACTACCAGGGGTGGGGGTTACATGCCTGCCTGGGGTTTTGTGTGTGTGCGGGGGCGGGGTATTGTGCAATGGTAAAT